TGTGGATTTTCTATGTTCTTACACTAATCCACACACTCTTTGACATTATTAATTAATTTTTCACATAATGTATCAATATCCTCATCAACGAGAGCTGCTTGCAATGCCGTAACAGTGCTTCATCGGGATTAACACGTGATGCCAATGAATTACGAACCATATCCTTTTCTTTTTTTTATCCACTCCTAACCACCAAACGAAGATTTAATAAATCTCCAATTGTATAATTCTCAAATGATTCGAAAAACTTGATATTGATGACCATCTTTATAATGTTTTGAATCATGATCCAAATAAGAAAATATGCTATTACTGTATGATCTGATAAGCAAAAAGAATGGCATGTAGAAACACTATACGTAAAGATACTTGTTTTTGAAACAAGTGGAAAAAAGATTATAAATTAATATTATCATCCAAATTGACTTTTGATTTAGTTTCTTTCTCTTCGACATACAATTCATCAATATAATTTAATAATAGACGATTGTTCATTTTACCTAGAAAATACAAAAATACATCGTCAAAGTATTTTATTAAACAAAAGTTTTTATAGTCGGAATTTGGCCTTCATACTTTTTCTTCTTTACGGAAATAAAATAAAATTATCTGTTTTAGTTTTATTCGATATTTGATGTGTTCATCAAATACCTTACAATTACATCTTTCAGGAGACAATGTGGGTGTTGATCTTTCCTCACAAATACCCACACTTATCCTTTTGGTTTCTTTCATGACAAAGAAAGATAAAACTATGTATATAGTTAATCAAAATTAATGTCGACGTATTAATTTATTTTAATTGATTGAATTTCGATAGCGGAACTAATAAAAGATGTCTAAGCACAGAATAATATACAAAAAAAAGCTATTTGTATATAAAACATTTTCATTTAATCAATAACATTATTTGTTTTAATTAATTGAAAGGATTTTATTCATTGATCTATTATTAATAATAGATTAATCTGCTTTAGAATGTCTATAGCTCAAACAAGAAGTTGATTCAAGATCATACCATTCTGCTAGATTTTCCACTTAGTCTTTTTCTACGATGGTAACAAGTAAAAACTTCGGGTGTAGGTGTCGATGAGTATCGGTATGGTGCAAAGATGATTACACCCAAAGCTGTACTCAAACAAACATCCAGACTGGCATCCACACCCACACCCTCGTTGGTGCCTCGATCAGCTCCACGCATCTCATAAGATAATTCTGTAGGTTGTACTGATTTTTTTCTCATCGTTTTGCTGTGTTGTTATGATATAAATGTCAATAGTATTGTAAACGCATTTGCACCTTATTTTGTGCTCTTATCAGTATAATAAAATGCTTTCGTCTTGTTATCAGTGTCAATCTACGAAAAAACCAAAACATGGCTCATATAACTGATGATGATGACGTTGATATCATTTCAAGAAAATTGTCGTTCGTTAGTTCATCGGCCGAAGACCAAATGGCAGTTGGTGCCAAAGTTGGCAATATGATCGTCGACTATCATACATCTTTACCAGTCATTGTTCTACCCCTTAGCAACAATTCTGATGACCAGTCGTTCCGATTTTCAATTAATAAAATTTACAAAAATATGTTGATTCTTTCATTAGCTTTTGCATTATTATTCACGGCGTATGCCGGTATATCCAATCTTCAATCAAGCTTAAATACCAAAAATAATATTGGTATCAATGCACTCATTATCACAAATGCCTTGGTGATTGTGAGTGGACACTACGAGAATAACAAAAATTTTTTTTTTCTTTTTCTAGTTTAGCTCGATCTTTCTTACAAGTATCTCCATAGACATTTTTGGACTGAAATGAAGTATTATTTTCGCTGAAGTTGGCTATATTTTATTTATTGCGGCCAATATTCGTCCTTTACCTTCACTTATGTACATTAGTAAGTCTTTTTTAAAACAAATATTGTAGGAGCAAGAGATCTGCTCGTCTAATCATTTCTGTACAGAAATGAAGACCCGTTTTCGAAACAAGACTCAACCGTCCGTAAGGAGACTCAAAGTCTTGCCCGAGATAGAGATAAGGCTGAGTTCCCCTAGCCCTCATCTAGTTACGCTATTAATCAATAATAAATTTATGAAGACTATCTCGTTTATTTAGGTGCAGCTTTTGTGGGTCTTGCTGCTGCCCCATTATGGACAGCTCAAGCAACCTATCTTAATCAAATTGCTCGTTATTACGCGCAAGCGAAGCATCAAAAGACGGACGTGGTTGTTAGCCTATTTTTTGGTATATTCTTTGCTTGTGTTGGTACAAGTGCCATTTGGGGTAATTTGATTTCATACTTTGTGCTAAATCAATCGAACAATCCACAAAAACTCAATTGTGGTGTCTATTTCGATCCACAATCAGCCATAACTATGAACACTACGAACAATGTTAGTGAGAAAACGGTAAGATAATTTGTTTTTACCGGTAAATTATTTCCATATCGTTTATTAAAGCGTTATATTCTATGTGGAATATTCTCTGGTTTGAGCATACTCTCCATGGTACTTCTTGTGTTTATACTCGACCAAGTTCGACTCAGCCAAAGACGTTAGTGACTTTTTTTTATCGTTGAGAAAGATAACTTCATTAAAGTAGAGCCCATTCAACAATCATTGAAAAAGTGTATTGAAGTGCTTCAATCCTTCACTCGGTGGAAAAGCATGGATCAATTTTTCCTGATTCCACTCACAATGTGGACTCTCATCGAGAGCTCCTTTTTTACAGCACAATTTACTCGAGTAGGAATACACAGCAATAAATGCATTTCCATTCTACGCTAATTGTGTTGATGTTGATTACAGGGATTCGTCAATTGTCTTGTCGGTATTCGGTATAACTTGATCTAATAATCTTTCATTTGAACTTTATGCTTAATTAGCTATGTGGGTCTAATTATGATGTGCCATGGGATATTTCATGTGGTAAGCAGTTATCTCTTTGGCCATCTTGTCAAGTGTGTAGGCCGAATGGGATGTTTCGCAATGGCAGCCGTACTCAATTATGCAATGATTTTTCTGATGTTTCTCTGGCAACCAGATGATAGTCATATGATCATTCTTTTTGTTATCGCTAGTTGTTGGGGTGCAGCAGATGCTGTCTGGCAGTCACAAGTCATAGGTATATTTCATCTCATTTTGATTTATTGATGATATATGTATTTTAGCCACTTACACGGTTCTCTATTCTGAAAGTGACCCAAGTGTTGTGGCTAAATATCGCCTTTGGAAATCTGTCGGCTCTCTTATTTCACTCAGCGTAAGAGTCTTTATCTCTCCATTCTTCTACTAAATGTGTCTTGTATTTTTTATAGTATGCTAGCTACATAACAATTCATCTCACACTCATTCTTCTTCTTGTCTATCTGACAGTGAGCATGATTTGCTATGGTATCGTCGAAACTCACCTTCGATGTAAAGACTATCGGAAGAAACAAAATAGTTTGATTAACTAACCTTAACAATAATTGCTTGTCCTTGTTGCTTTGCTTTCGTCCTAAAACAAATAAGACATTATACATAAGCTAATTTCACTGTAGATCTGACTGATTGATGTTTAAGTGATGCTTTGTTTACATAGTGACGAGAATATTCGTTGTTCATGACGAAAAAGCAAAAGAAAGCATGCATGCTATATTATTTCTAGGAGAATTACATTGAAAAAGACTAGCATTATAACAATAGCAATTGTTTTTTTCTCAAACATTGTTGAACATTTCGAGTTTGATCATCTAGAAATTGTTGAACTATCGATCGAGCGAGATCAGAAAATATTGTTAATTCAATTTTTTATTTAGTCAAATTCTCTAAAGAATTGTATAGAGAAAGTCGATTCTTTTCAATTGAATAATTCAAAATTTATTCCTGTTAAAAAGAATAATCGTGATACTATTCAAATTTGTACTCTAGTAGACAATGTTTGGAATCAAATATAATCAGTTTTACGTAGTTTTGTAAGTCGTTAAAGAATTAATCTTATTCAAATAATGTTCTGTTTTTGAAAATCGCAGGCTCGAACATGGTCGTTTATTACGATCAACGTCTTTCATATTATAACTACGATTTTATTAACTTACAAGTACATAACGGCTTGAATATTTATCAATCGAAATTTTCAACTTGTCTGAAAATTGTTGGATTAGCTACCATAATTTTCTAGGAAGCAATGAATGTCTATCAGTTCTTTATCGGATTCATACTATCAGATCAGCAAATGCACTCTTTACAACAGTTTCACATTCACGTATTCATCTATCCTCAGTATTTGGTGTATCTTGAAATGGGTACGAAAACCAGCGGTTAACATAATATGTTGATTTAGGAGCATATCAAGCTTTAAAAAATTTTAAAAGAAATTTCTGTTAGACATATGCCGTGTAGATTTTCTTATATTGCTACTAAGTTAATCAAAATTTTCATCATTTTCTTTTTTGAACTGTGCATAGTTCCATAAAAGGAAGAAACCTAATAGAATGGCATTATTTCAGATCTAACTCCTATTCAATAATTCTTAGATAGCTATGTTTTATTAGTACGTATACGGATACTATTTTCAAGGCTTGAAAAAAGTTTATTTGTCTGTCAATAGGAAATATGTACAGCATCAGACAAATTAGAGTTCATTTTGGATAGGACAAGCTTCTGTTCTGTAGAAGAAGGGGTAGGTAAATTGAATGATTATGAAATACTAACAGCTATTAAATTTATTACAAAATACTATACAGAAGATGATGACTTTAGTAATAAAGTTTTTGTTTTTTTCATTTTCTAGTCGATTAAAATGTATTGATATTCATTAAATAAATATTTCGTTTCTTAAAATTAATTTTTTTGAAAAATGTTTTCTTTTTAGATTGTTTATATATTAAAAGAATTAAAATCGTCCCGTTCTAATGACAAAAAAAAATAAAAATTAGCATAGAATCATATGAAAAGAATGAATTATTAATTCAGATTAAACACAAAAAACGTTTGAATAGAAATTATTATCTTTTCAAAATTTTGTTATAACATTTTCTTTAACAATTGTCGTCGATTTTTTTCTCAATTCCCTAATATATTTCCACCATAGTTGAATCAAATGACATGACATTAATAGTACAAATGATAATATAATCAGCCATGCCTGAAATAAAAGAAATGATTTTTTTTTAAACACTGATAAGAGAAACATAATAAAGACTCACTCTCCACGAACCAGTTATATCATTCGTCAATTGCACTAAGCCGTACTGCACAGTTGCAATAACACCCACCGAAGTCCACATTACACCAGTTAATGTGCCAATATATTCAGTTGGAAAACTAAAATAGAGACAAAGAAATAATTCATATAGTTAGTGATATTAATACAGATGAAGGAAAGATTTCTGGAAGTAACATGAAAGACATATTTTCCTATTTGATTTTTTATTCTCAAACTACTTGAGAATTGTAGTTTATTTTTAAAGATTATCTTTTATAATGGCAATTTTGTAGATACTACTACTACTACTTACAAAGTTGCTACTACCGCTTGACTTCCACCTGAAATTGTAGCTCGTGCAATACAATTGATGACTAATGCTGGAATAATCATACTCTTTCGAACAAACATACATATAATACATGCTATTATATTGAGAAGCCATGATATCGTTTGCATTAATGATATATTAAATAATTTTTGTTTTTTACCTGAACATGAAGATAATTAATGACAAAAAATCAACGACAACTCACTTTTATCAGATTTAAATCCAAGTAGAAAACCATTCAATGGACAAATAATAATAGCAGAAACAGTAGACAAATTAAATGCAAATGTGTATTTGTTCGCTAAAATGAAATATATATCCTATGATTTTACAGTACAAAAATTGATAACTTACTTAGTATTGTATCTTGTTTTGTGATATAATATACCCAAGGATACCATATTACAGAAAGGAAAATTCCCGGTAATAATAGAAGACTTAAAAATAACACCACTAACAGATACAATGGACTTATTAAATGATGCCAAACACCTTTTCGTTTCAAAATTCGTTCATACCAATTCATTTGATTTATTTCATTATGATTTGATAGATGATCTTCAAATAGATCGGAATATAAAAAATAATATTTCTTAGACTGACTTACCTGTGAGAATATCTTGAGAAATATTTTTCTTTTCCAATGTGGTATTAAATTGATAGGGTAAATTCAAAAGAGGAAAACTCCAATCAAGAAATACAAATGAACTGACCAACATTAATACACCAAATGACATCCATATATAAGATAATTGTTGTAATGTAATCTTTTGAGCATCAATTAAAATCTAGAAAACAAAAGAACTGATATAATATTTCAAATTTTACAACATACTTGAAATATCGAATACCACATTGTTGCTGATGTACACGCACCAGCAAATAGTGCCGATACAAATGCTCGTGATTTTGAAAAATAACCACTTGATGTATAAGCTGTTAATAATACGATAATACTAGCTAAGGATGAAAATGATGTATGTACATATAAAAGTGAATCTCGTCCTAAAAAAAAAACAAAGCAATAATTATGAAATAGAGTGCTCACATAAATAGATATTGATTTACCAGATGTAATCAATGCTAATGCTAACCATCCAATAATATGAAAAATTCTGAAAAAAATAGAATATTTTTAGGATTTGACAGGACAGAAAAGGAAGAGATGCAAAGTACTTACATTCCAATTAATTTAACAAATCGACATCCAAACCTATCAATCATTGGACCAATAATAACTGATGGAATTTCAAATAGTATAATACCTAATGTCAACGCATTCTAAAATCAAATACAAATACATATATATGAATCAAAAGTTCATTGATTTGCTGTTTATTCATACCTGATAGTGACGTGTTTGATATCCTTGACAAGATAATTCTCCATCATCTGATTCTGTTGTATTTATTATTGATGATGAACAATCATTTTCACTGCCATAAATTCCATATTGAGGTAAAATTTGAAATAATGCTGGAAATCCAAATATTGTACCACCAATTAAATTCACTTCAATCAAAAGCCATATGACACCAAACCATTTACGAATCGAATGATCAACACTTTTTTCTGTGGCCGATTTTGTAGTCGTACTAACAGTCATATTGATTTATAACTAAAAAAATTAATAAATAAGAATGAAATGCATTGTATTAAATACTTGACGCAGAAACTCATCAAAATATCTTCAGTTAGACTTTGAGTTTCTGAGAAAGACATATTATCTAAACAGTATTTCTTGGTTTTATCCAAAGAAAACAAGGCACTCATTTTATTTGATCTATTTACCTTGTATTTATTGCTAGTTTTACTTTTTATTCGCTTCTTTCGAATATTTATTATAGTACTTAATATGCCAGGATTTGATGATAAAGTAGACGATGATATATTATTTTGTTTTTCATACAATCATTAAAAAAACACTCGTTATTAGAGTCACGATACCTAGGAAGTACAGATATCAAAATACACGAAATTGTCGAATAAAGTTTTATAGTTACTGATATGATCTTTACATAATACATGCTAAGTGCATAACATGTCTTCCGTTTTCGATGACGTCAATAGTATTCCAAGAATCTTTCCAGCATAAGTACCAATATTCCTATAAAAACTTCGATCGAAATTCAGAATTTCTACAGTCAAAGAAACAATCAAAACACACTACAAAGCAATAAGAAAAGGCTTATTTCACTCATTTTTTTTCATTCAGTTACTTATAAATATCATTATTCAATCTTATTATCAAGGTTTGTTCATTTGTCTGTTACAGAGATTATCAAAATTTTCTTGTTGCTTTCTAGCAATATGCCGGACAAAATAGATCTCAGACGGCAAAACAGTATAAATTCGGAATTTTTACAACACCATGGTAGATTCGAATATCCACCATCACCATCAACTCCTAATGGAATAAAACGTTTTCGTCGACAAGAAAGTCAAAACTATTGTAAGTTTAATGATAAATATACTTTTTTTTTACAATAAGATATTGTCTATCTATCGATAGTATTGACGATCATTTATTTAAAAATTTTCTTCTAACGTATTAAAATAATTTTCTCTTCATATTTTAGTTGCAGGAGAATATGAACCAGAACATTATGCTGATGATAAACAACAACAGCCACAAAAACTCGTTTTTTTCAATATGGATCCGACAAAACTATCCCATAAAATTGCTGACATCAATCTAGCAGAATTGGGTCGAAAAGCTTTGTCAATGGCTGAAGCTGAAATGCCGGGAGTTATGCAACTGAGAAAAGTCTTTGGTCCAAAGAAAATTTTGAAAGGTGTTCGACTTGCTGGATGTTTGCATGTCACAGCACAAACCGGCGTTATGATCGAAACACTTCGTGAATTGGGTGCAGAAGTAAGTCTTCTATTCATCTTAAAATCGCTTCAGATTCTTAATATATAATTATTGTCTTTTAGATTCAATGGAGTTGTTGTAATCCATTATCAACACAAGATCATGTGGCAGCAGCATTAGTTAAAGCTGGTATATCCATTTATGCATGGAAAGGTGAAACCATGGACGAAAAATTATGGTGTATAGATCAGGTAAATTAGATAGATTGTATTTTCCTACTTATTTATTACATTTCATTAGACAATCTTTTTTCCTGATGGACAACCATTGAATGCTATATTAGATGATGGTTGTAATTTAACAAAAGTTATTCATGAAAAATATTCACATTTAACGAGTGTTATACATGGTTGTAGTGAAGAAACAACGGCTGGTATAACAAAATTACGAATATTATTAAGAGATAGAAAATTAAAAGTTCCAGTTATTAATGTTAATGATAGTGTAACAAAATCAAAATTTGATAATTACTATGGATGTGGTGAAAGTCTTATTGATGGTATTAAACGAGCAACGGATGTAATGATTGGAGGAAAAGTAGTCGTGCTTATTGGATATGGTAATGTGGGAAAAGGATGTGCAAAATCATTGAGTGGTCTTGGCGCACGAGTAATTGTTACTGAAATTGATCCAATTTGTGCTTTACAAGCTGCAATGGACGGTAAGGAATATGCATATTTATCGGTTGAGTGTAACTAATGATGATGTATCGTTCTTATAGGCTATCAAGTGACAACGATGGCTGAAGCATGTAAACTTGGTCAAATATTTGTCACAGCCACGGGTTCAACTGGATTGATTCGTGGTGAACATATTTTAGAAATGCGTGATATGGCTATTTTATGTAATATTGGTTCGGGTCAAACGGAAATTGATGTTGTATGGTTAAAAGAAAATGCAGTTAAAATTGAAAATGTTAAACCACAAGTATGTTTCATTTAGGGACATGAAATTTTTATCCATCTACTTACTTGTATTGTTATAGGTTGATATTTATCATCTTTCGAATGGTCGTGCAATTATTTTACCTGCTGATGGTCGTGTTATTAATCTATGTAAGTATTATTTAGGAAAATAATAATAGTATATTGTCATATTTGAATGCTTTTAGCTTGTGCTCATGGCAATCCTAGTCTAGTTATGAGCAATTCATTTTCAAATCAAATCTTAGCACAAATTGAATTATTTACAAAACGAGGAGAATATTCAATTGGAATTCATACTCTTCCAAAAACGGTAAATATTTTTTCACTAAATTGAGTTTCATATCTGATTAAATTATTTTTAAATTTTAGTTGGATGAACAAGTGGCCATGGCACATTTGGAATATTTAGGCGTTAAATTGGAAAAAATAACAGAAGCACAATCAGTGTATACCGATACAGATTCCGATGGTCCATTCAAACCTTATTATTATCGATATTGAGATTATTTATTCACCATCAAATCTAGATATATTACTAGAACACTCGTTTCTTTTTTTTATTAAATATCTCATCACACAGTTACATTAAATCACAAAAGAAAATCTTTCTTTTCTTTTTTTTTTTTTGTTATTCAATAATAGTTCAAAATGTCATTACTATTAATTTTCTTCTCTATTTATTTACTATAGATTATCATATATGACACAATGTTAATCGACATTATTATTATTGTTCTTATTTCCAACATCTTCTGTAACATACAATTGACTAATCAAATATCAATACAAAGTATCAATAATGATCAATTAAATATATCTAATTTTAGTGTAGTCACTCGATATCGAAAAACTTCAGGTAAGTTTTACCCATAAAGTAAGAATTGATGATACATAACGTTATTGTTCATCTATTTTTTAGTTCAAACAAGAATTACTGATGATCATATTCCGACGATATTGAATAAACTTGGTAAATTCTTGTTTTTTTTTTCTTCTTTCAATAGTATTGACTTTTTCTATTCTTTTCTAGATTCATCTGGAATAGCTTTAACAACACAATCAACATCTCTAATAGAAACCTCTACATCTACTAATCAAACATCTTTTATTCCTTCATTTCAAACAAAACGTTTGCCTATTAATCCTGATGCTGTTGCACCTGATGGTTCATTAGTTCGTACTTTATTAACAACAATTGGTGGTAGTATGGCACAATTTGAGCTTCCTCCTCGAATGACATCACATGCTGTTGAACATCGAACTGTTTATGAAATATGGTATTTTCTATCTGGTCAAGGTGAATTTTGGCGTAAGCAAAATGAAAGAGAAGAAATTGTAATAGTAGACGCTGATATATGTATTACCATACCAGTTGGTACACAATTTCAATTTCGTACTATTGGACAAAAATCTCTTGTCGCAGTGGCAATTACCATGCCACCATGGCCAGGAGATAGTGAAGTTATACCTAGAGAAGGTATTTGGAATGCAAGTTTGATTAATATTGGAAACTCATCAATGAAATTACGTCATTCGATTTATCTATTTATGATTTTTGTCACCTTTCTCATAGTAAAGATGTTCTAAACTCAATGAAGTAGATCTTCATTTTTTTGATATAACTCTTCAAGCAATCAAATATCAATGATAATCTGCAACTATTCTCAAGATCTGACAAATACCTTCAATTCATCATGCATCTTGAAGTATTCACTGAACACAGGTTCATGTCGATGCATCTTTCTTGTGTTTACTGTTTAATATTTCATTGTTGATTCTGTCATTAGAAAAATAAAAAACTTTCCGAATGTACTCGAATTTAATAATCCAAATAAACTAGTCGAAAAGAATCGCTAGAAACTATTATTCATCACAATAGCCTTGGTGACGAGTGAATTCCAAGTGTGATGAGGGTCTGGATGTGAATATGAGGCTGTGGGTGTGCGTGTGCCTTACGTTCATCCACACCCTTTCGCTCCGATAATTCTTTTAAATAATGTCAATATGACAACGACTCAGTCAAACAAAATTGATACAAAAGTACGTTTTCAAGCGTAAAATATGCGATTTTCATCGATAAAAAACATATGAAGCCGCGTTATAGGTGGACTAGGAAGCACCTTTATTCAAAATAGTGACCACAATATAAATAAAACATTTTAAGATAAGCAATTCAAAATATTTTATAATTGCAATTTGGCCTCTATACTTTTCTTTCTTCTGAACACAAAACAATGTATAGATTCTATTACTCGAAATATAGAGCATTGAGTTTGTAATTTAATCGATAATATTACATTTTTCAGAAGACAATTTTTCTAACAATGTTATTCCTGTTCGATTTTTATAGGAAATATTTATTATCATGTTATCAAATTACTAAGCAATCGATGAATATCATTTACCATAGAATTATAATAGTAATAAGTGCAGCAGAGTGAAAGATTTTACATCGCATATTTCTTTTTCTTCCGCCTAATATGTTTGTTCTAGCTCGAGGGTATGATGTGGGAGTGGGCGTCAATGTTTTCTTCTTCACACTGACACACATCCACACCCAAGATTAAGAATATTTTTTTGTTTATCTCTAATATTAGTTTTTCGTTCTAAGACCTTGTGATTAGTCCTAAATAGTTATATTCTACAAGAATTGATTCGAGATCAATTATGGAAAATTCTTCGAAGATCAAAACAATTTTAGAAAATATCATTTTGTGCTACGATCTTCTTCTTATAAATATAATTTTCAACTCCAGAGAACTTTGATGTTATTGTTAGGAACAGATGGTTCAGATTAAAATGCCTACTTGTGTTCATTGCTTTTCAGAAGCTAATGTAATAGAGAATTCATTACGCTACAAAACTATCCATTTTGCTTTTCAAATAGAGTTTTTTTATGAAGGCAAAAATGAATAGCTTAACAACTGGTAGTATTTTAGCATGCATTTTAGAAACTCATGTTTTCAAAAGTTAGACTTGCTATATCAGAAAAATTTATCCTCATACTAGTGAATGTAGAATTTAATTCTGAACAAAATGGTATGACTGTTAAGTTAAATAGGAAACAACTGCTAGGTCATTGCGAATTAAAAATGTACAATAACAATGGTCTGTCTGAAAAGGGAGTTTCTCTTGTTGGATGTGGCTGTGAAGTACAGATCTGTTCATTTCAATCACACATCGCATTCACACTCTACTGGAAAGTCCCTCAAAATCAAAGAATCAATGAGAGTATTTCATTCTGAGACACTCGTTACTATTAAGACAATTATACAAAGCAAGAGTTTTTCTTTTAAAAAACACTCAACTTTCAGAAATGATTGTTATCAACAATGAAATCGATTTTAGAAGATTATATTGAATGATTATGAGAATTAATATCTTTAGTATACTTTCAATCAGCTTGGTTTTTCGTAAAAGCATTTCTGTCTGCAACGAGTTCAACAAAAGAATACAAAATACCGTTGTACATTGTTCCATATCATGAATGATCAAGTCTATCATTATTTATTGGTGTATGGTCATGTACGACCGAATATGATTAATCCGATGAACATGTATGTCTGATAAATATCATAATGATTATCTTGTATTTTGAAAAGCTGAATTGTTCAAAGGAATAACTAGTTCACTTGTAATGGAAATATTTTTCTGAATTTCATAAATGAAATTACGCTTTTCTTTTCTTGTAATCTTAAGAATAAAAAATTTAAAAATTTCCTCCTGTCTATTTTATCTATTTTCTAGATTAACAAAAAAACTCAGTAAAAATTTACAAAGCAGAAAGCGTACTGTTCTGAAATTTTTCAAAGCATGACTCCCTCAAATAATTTATTTTCTTCATATTACACTTTTACACATGAGTATATAAGATAAAAATTCTGAAAGTAGAATGATATTATTACATATATTATTATATTGAAACAAAGTTACACAATATTCTTGCAATTTTACCAGGGTAATAATCTCTTCTATGATGAATTTTTTGTAGAACAGGATGGAAAAAAGTATACTCTTGAGTTTTACTTTCTACAAATAAATAATAATACTTTTTTAAGTTGGAATATTCCAGCAATAATACAAATGTATAAATAGGTGACACGCACCTTTCATCCTTCTTTTGTCTCGACAGGATTGAAAGAGATTATAGATAACATAGATTAGAAAACAGAAGTTTTTTTTTTTTTATGAGACCAATTCAAATACACTATCATTCTACATAAGATGTCGTATGTATAGATAAAGTTTTTTTTTTCTATAATAAAATACAAAAAACACATATCAAAATCTTCGTTGCAGGTAAAAATCAACATGGTTGTCTTTTTTATATTTTTATGTATATCATTGTCGTTGTTTTTTTCTTCATCCACCCCTATGGCAAGAACGAAACTAGACACAAGTTATATATAGAGAGAGACGGAATTGCGTCTCGATCGTCTGTCCCTTGTTTTTTTTTTTTTTACATTTTCAGGTAATGACTAGAAGGCATGAAAAAAAACATATTTGTTTAGAGAGCATATTTTTGAATTTTGTAGTTTCTCTATTCGAAAAAAATCGACACAATATTTTTTTCGCATGTATTGCATTTATAAAAAAAAAAAAAAAAACTCTACTTTTTATTTTAAACATTATTACTGAGTTATTCGAATCTTTTAGGTTGAAAAAAAAGAAATGGCTACACCTAAATTAAATAAGGAACTCTACGCCAATATAACTCGACTAAAACTATTAAATTCAACTAATACAGATCCTAAGTTTTTACTTGATCAATCACCATTTAATGAAGATAGTGATGAACAAGATACAGGTGCTTCCGCAAACCCAAAAGAAATCTTGATTATTGGACGAATTTTCCCAGATTCAGAAATATTTAAAGAAGGTGCATTTCAAATTGAAATGAAATTACCTCCTGATTTTCCATTTAATCCACCAGAAGTACGTTTTCTTACTCCAATTTATCATCCAAATGTTGATACAGATGGTATGAAAAAAATAAAACCTAATATTTATTAATCTTGTTTTTTTTTTTTGCAGGGAAATTTTGTCATGAATTATTAATAAAAGAAGCTAAACATTCAAATAAAGTAACTTTAATTGATGTTGTTAAAGCTGTTGTACAATATATCGATCATCCTAATCTAGAACATCCAATGCGCGCTAGTTCGTTTTTTTTTCTTCAACTTTTATATTATTTTATTTTTTTTTAGATGTCGGTTGTGAATATGCGGAAAAGCGTCTTGACTTTAATCGTAACGCATTGGAATATGTTAAAAAGCATGCTTTGCCACGTAGCTGAATATTCTACAATCTTGCTTTTCTAATAAACTAAACTTTATTGGTTGATATTGCCTAAAATATTACATATAATATGTTTTCTTCTTAATAGAAAATTTAGTTGATTATAACAAACATGATGCTTTTAACACTGATAATCTAAGATTTCATGATTTCATTTTAATGATGTTTTAGTCAGTCTATGGATTTTTTCAATAAATTTTTTCTGATAACATCTTGACACAAGTTCAAAAGCTGAAGAGAAGTCTTGTTTTAAATTATACTATAAACATTCAATAGTAGAACTCAATGCAACACTTCACAGGCAATTTCATTCATACATTAATATTGCTATTATAATGTTATAAACATGTATTCAATTGAATTTTATATCAGATTACTTTTGATTCATGCATTGGATTCTTAATTTTGGAACAACGGAGAGCTAACGATGGTTCAGAATAGGTCGGTCTAACAGCGCCTGAGAAATTTTTGAAAGATATATTTAAGTAAATCTTTGCGTGTGTTAGAATGAAGTCAACCAATAATGAGCCCAAACTGAACTGTAAATCAGAAATCAGATTTCTTTGAATCTGTTCAAATTAATATTTTACATAAAAAAGATATCTTGAAAAAATTGAATCATAATTCATAATAATACGCAGACGTATTAATGCAATATTTACATCAAATAGAACTTCTTCTATTTTATTTTCTAGTCACTAACATGATAATACATATTTTACAATGTCTTCTTCAAATAATTCATCATTTTATGGTATTATTAAAATATTTATTTGTTTGTTATCTCTTTAAATGGATTATTAAACCTAATACTTCAAAATAAATAGTACCGACTGAGACAAAAAAAATTGATAATCGTTAAAAAAAAGGATTTTGATTGATAAATTATTGTTCGATATGAACAAAATTAATCTTATATTCCTTGTGATTGAAAAATATAATCATCTATAGATTGATTCTGAAGGAAAATACAAGAAAGCTTTTATTTAATATATGAATAAATAAAATGATGAGAAATTTATGTTTAGATTAATTGGATTATTATTTTTTTTTTCATATAAGTTTTATTTTGTTTATGTTAATAACAAAAGAAACTTGAAAGTCTATTTTAGAAAATTATATTCAACGATAATGAGATGTAAAGTATTTAGAAAAATGATAAATATGTTCATGTTTTCTAAACCCTCCTATCTATTTCTATTCAAGTAATTAGTTTTTTTTTCGTATTGTACTTTTACACATAAGTACATAAGATAAATATCCTCTAGCAGAGTGATATTATTACAAATAAAATTATACAATATTTTCTAAAACCTACTAACTAATAATTTCTTCTATGATGAATTTATTGGCAGAAAATATTTGAAAAAGAAAAAGAAAGTGTACTCTTGAGTGTTGCTTCCTACAAATAAATAATAATACTTTTTTTAAGTTGGAATATTCCAAATAAAAAGATAGAAGTGCGTCAACAGTTGACACACGTTTTTCATTCTTCTTTTTCTCCCGAGAATTGAAAGAGTTACATTAAAAGTATCTGTTTTTCATGTACTACTATTATTCTACATAAGAAGTCGTATGTATAGATAAATTTTTTTTTTGTAATTTTTTCTATAATAAAATAATACTAACAAATGATTTGTTTTCTAAAAAACATATATGAAAATTTTCGTTGGAACTAAAAATCAACATGGTTGTTTTTTTTCTATTTTTATGTGTGTCGTCATTGTTGTTTCTTTCTTCATCTACCTATGGCAAGAAACGAAAACTGAAAACATGTTGTACACAAACATCATTGCATATTGGGCGTCTGTCTTCCTTTTCTTGTCCCTTACTTTTTCACATTATGATTAGAAAGCATAAAAAAAAACAAAAATATTTATTTGGACAGCACACTTTGAGTTTTACAATTTTTTTCTCAACAAAATCGATACAAGTTTTGTTTTTTTTCATTTTTATTGTATCTATAAAATAGCTTTTCTATTACTCATTTATAGAAACTTTGAGATTAAAATTCTAATGGCCACATCAAAATTAAATAAGGAACTATACAAAAATATTACTCTACTAAAATTATTAAATGCAACTACTTCAAATCCTAAGTTTATACTTGATCAATCACCATTTAATGAAGATGGTGATGAACAAAATACAGCTTCTTCTGCAGATCCAAAAGAAATTTTGATTATTGGACGAATTTTCCCTGATTCAGACATATTTAAAGAAGGTGCATTTCAAATTGAAATGAAATTACCACCTAATTTTCCATTTGACCCACCAGAAGTACGTTTTCTTACTCCAATTTATCATCCAAATGTTGGTAAAGATGGTAAAAATATATAAGAAAAAAAAAACTTAAGTTTAATGTTTATCAATGTTTTTTTTAGGGAAATTTTGCAATGAGTTGTTAAAAAAAGAAGCTAAATGGACTAATACAACACCTTTAGTGGAAGTTGTTAAAGCTGTTGTACAAAATATCGATCATCCTAATATTGATTATTCATTTAGTTTTGGTGAGTTCTTTCTTAAACTTTATTTTATTTATTTTCATTTTATTTTAGAACTTGGTCGTGAATATACGGAAAATTATCCTGAATTTAATCGGAAAGCATTAGAATTTGTTAGAAAACATGCTTTATCACGCAATTGAATAGTCTAGAAATTTGTTTTTCTAACGAACTAAACTTTTTTTTGTTTTTGTTGTCTAATAATATCTTAATGTTAATTGAACATCATAAATATAATATCTTTCATGTTCACAAATCAAAATCTCATGATTTTATTTTAATTACCTATTAACTTTCGATATCGTATGATACTGACATCTTTAGTAAATAATCAAGAGTCATGGGTTACTATGAAAAAGCTAGGTAATGATTAATTATTTGATAAAGAGGCAGTGTCGTTCTCAAAGGGTTCATGAACAATGAATTGCTTTTGATACTTCTAAACATTGATATACTATTTTAAATATAGAAACGTTTGAAAAAAAACAATCTGTATGAATCATCATAGTAAAGAAAACTAATTTTTCATGTTGATAATTGAAAAAAAAAAGTAATTTTAATTTCTATAACGATTCCCTAGATGTAATTTTGTTTTACGCTTTTAATATGAAAATATAACTTGAACTCATGTATAATTTTCTATGCAATAAAAGATCCTTTTTAAGACTATTGCTTTCATGGGAAAAAAACAACCTTTCAACTTATATTTTTGCAAGTACGCAATTTGTTTTCTTTTTTTTTGTTCTGTTCGATACTTCCTACATGACGAAAGAAAAACAAGCCATCCTTTATATATATATATTATTTGCTTTTTTTTTAAAGGATTTGTAATAGATAAAACACAAGTGTGGTAAAACACTTATCATTATATATTTAATATGAGTAAAAGTGACCCTAGTTTACGTACAAAACGAGCTTATTCTTTAGCAGCTCAGCTAAAAAATATTGGACCAACAAGTAACGCAAAAACTAAATTTATTCTTGAATCAACACCGTTTGATAATGAAGATGAAACACCACCATCAGGTGATTGGATTATAACTGGTCGACTATTACCAAATTGTGATATTTATAAAGACGGCTCCATTCGAATTCAATTAATAATAGGACCAGAATATCCATTTAAAGCACCAAAAGTATTAATAAGAAGTCCAATATATCATCCTAATATTGATCGAAATGGTAAATAGTATTCTATCTTGAAATTATCTATTTAGTTTTCTTTAGGTGAAGTCTGTCTTGAACTCTTGAGTAATATTACATCATGGACACCAACAACAAGTTTTATTTCTATTATTGAGGAAGTAACCAAAATTATCGATGAACCTAGTAATGATAATATTAAACATCCTGGTCTGTACTATTTATTTAATAGTTTGTTTCTATGAATGCCTTTTAATCTGTTTTTGTTTTTTTTAGAAGCGGCTAGTTTATTTAACACTAATAGAAAAGAGTATGAACGTATTGCATCAGAAACGTTTAAAAAGCATTTTTTACCACGAAATTAAACAGACAATATTGTTTTCTTTCTCTAAATTTTTATGTCTAATATTAATAAGAATATACTAATTGATATATTTTTATTATTTGTTAATGTATAAGTCTATTGAAAAAAATCTTAAGAGTACAGTGATATGAGACACTAGACATCTAATAAGAATAAACATAAATAAAAATAAACGTTGAAAACAAAAAAAGAATTTATGTAAAGTAATAAATTAATAAAATAAAGAAAATAGAGCGCAATAATTGTATATATTACTCATGTTAATAGTAAACAAAATTCGATTATGAAAGAATTTTTACTTTTTATACTATTGAAATCTATATTCTCATTACCTATACAAAATATTGATAATCATATTCCTTTAAAATTCAAAGTAGAAAAATCAACAAATAAATCTTTTGTATGTCCATGGTATTGTTATCCAGCTATTATATTTATTATTCTTATTTGTTTAATTATTCTTACGATATGTATATCAGCATGTGATTATCGTTCTTCAAAAAAACAACAAGAATCAAATGTTATTAAACATAAAACTATATCATTAGAAAATAAAGATGATGATGATGATGATGATGATGATGATAAAAAGACAATAGATAGTATACCACAAAAAATAATGAATAAATCTCAAGATGATGATATCATTAGTTTAACTAGTATGAATTCTGAAAAAAAGTGAAATTAATAGAACTTCATTTTTTAAGTCAAAATACTAAATTGCAATACAATTTTTATTGATATAAAGATACAAAATAAAATCAAATACTGGAAGGTTAGTCTAAAATACCGAGATCACAGTTAAACTAACCTTCCATTAGAAGATAGAACATTCTTCACAAAGCTTATTTGGTTTTACATAATGATCGAAATTTCAAAATTTTTAATAAAAAAAAAATTACTATTCAACTAAGATCATAACTTCTTTATCGAAGAGTTTGTAAACAATCGCAAAAATACAGTTTGATGAACAACCAGTTTTGTGGCAAAATATTGTTTTTTTTTTACGCTAAACATTACTCGTCTTTAATAAAGGTGGCTACCATTTTTTTTTTACTAATCCAATATCAATGAAATTTTTAGAAAATATTCTTCTATATCTGAAACATACACAGATGCAGGTCTTTCTTCGTCATTAGACGTATTTTCATCATCTTTATGAGACCTTAAATTACATAATATCGTCAATCAGACTTGAAAAAAAAGCATAACTTCATAGGTCTCTTCGTATGAATAATTTAGCATCAAATACAAGTTCTATTTGAAAACTTTGTCAGTACTGCTTCAGGAGGAGTTAAAGTGTGAAATTCACAAGGTCTGTCTATTATAGATGTATGATACGCACTATCAGTTTATTAGATTTATTTAATGTCGTTATAGTAAAAAAAAATTAACTTATTTCTATTGTTAGATACATCTTTCATACAATCAATGCTTTGAGAAGCGACAAATTTATTTTTATTCTTCTTGTCGTCGTTTGAACTATCATATTAGTCTGCTATACATATTGATTTAATCTTTCCAAGGGTCGCAGTGGTCTAGTATGCAAAATCAGGAATCAGGACAGGAATTTTCAAGAAAAAAAATCAAAACTTGACCTAATAAATCAGGATGCTCAAAACATAGGTACTATTCATCGAAAATGCATATAATTTCACAATAGGAATTATGAAATGTCAAATGAAATTCATTCTTTGCTCTATTTCAGCAGTTGGTAATATCCTTTAAAATGGGAAATCGTACCACCTCTCGCAGAAAACCGATACCCCATACAATTTAAAGAGGAAACAGTTCTCCCATTGCCTCTGTGTTTCGAAAACATAACAATCACGTAACAACTAGCTTAACTCCCATTAGAAAAATTAAATCAAAGCGCGAAATGACAAAACAAAAACGCTGAAACATTATGACGATTTCCAAGTCGTCGTTAGAAAATCGTAAAATCAATACATTTCATCCTAGAAGGTCTAATGCCACCAGAAATCATCAATTTCAAGCATACATCGTCAAGATATTCCAACAATGTCGGCTGGACTAGACTAGAATAACCCTAAGTAGACTCACTTGCCTGAGCCTTTCGGGCTGAGTTATAACCGCTTTACTGGATTCTCGACTTATGACGTCAGAAGGTTATCTGCAACAACAAATATGCAGTTTCGACCTGAAATTTTGTCTATGTATAAATCTAAGGGTCACTAGGATACCGTAAAAAATTCGGACAAAACAAATGAATTTTCCTTAAGATATTGAGTATTCAAAATATTCCGTTTTTTGCGAACCTCTTTTCTGAGAAATGGACGGCTTTTGAAAATTAAGTATCTCCTGAAAGACGCATTCGTTTTGTCTGAAACTTTTAGAGTATCCTTGTGACCATTAGATTTATTTATAGACAAAATTTCAGATCGAAATCAGGTTTATTTGCTGTTGCAGAGAACCTCGTGTCATAAGTCCAAAATCCAGTAAAACGGTCATAAATCGGTCCCAAATGTCCAGACAGGTGGCCAACTTAGGGCTATTCTAGCTCAAAGGCTTCCAACATATAGTGAAAGTATCAGGTCAAGTAAGAGGACATCTTCTCTCTAAAAAAAATTGGATCTTTACGAAACCAAAAAGGTTTTGTAGAGACGAACGAAACTCCCAAAAAGGGTTTCGAGTTTGTATCTAGATGAAAAACCTTTTTTTTCGGTTTCGTAAAGATCCAATTTTTTTTTAGAGAGTGGAGAAGCTCCCTTGTGAAATTCGTTTATAGCCGTCCAACAATGAGATTTGATGATTCATCAGACTCTCAACTTTCAGACCTAACTAATTTGTGTTTGTTTATTCTTTCTTACTAAATCATGACACGAAATTTTGTAGGAATCATTTGATAAAAAAAATGAATTTTTCCATATATTCAATGACATTTTTTAGTTCATAAAAAACTTTATCTATTCCTCAAACAAGATGAACAACGGAATCATTGAAAAAAAAAGTATCTGCATAAGTTCAAGGCAAAATTTCTAAAACGCCTCAAATGAGACTAGATCAAAATTACTTAGTGTCGAAAAGCATCAAAAATTAGGATCACTGCGAGGTCTGTGATTCAGTATGCTTTCGAATACATTATCCTAGATTTTAATTAGTTCATACTTTTCTATGTTTGTCATATTTTAACTTTATGTTCTTTAATAAACACTAAAAATTAGAATATTCAAACTAGTTAGAAAAAATGTTAGAAGATTTTAGTATGTTGTTATGAAAATCTACTCATTAATCTTTATTTCAATGTTTTTCGGCAGTAGATGCATTCGATAAAACAATAATAAAATTTCTTTTTTTCTATGGTTTTTATTTTTGTAAATAAAAACAACGAATGAAATGATCAAATTCATTTCATTTAACAATAAAGAAAACAAAAAGAAACAAATTTATTTTCTTGATTTAAGTCGTTTAATTGATTTTGTTTTTTTCTTTTCCATACGTTTTTTTGTTCGTCTTGATAGTTTACTTTTCTTCTTTTTTGTTAAATTATTTAAATTATCATCAAATAATATATTAGCATCATGTATATGATTTATAATATCATTATCATTATTTATTATTGATTTTTGTAATTGTAAACGTTCACGTTTTGTTTGTGGTAAACGTTTTAAATATTCTTCTTCATAAGTAATTTTTTCTTTATATAAACGATTTTGTTGTAATAAACGACTACGTTCACTATTATAAATTTCTTCTGGTGCATCAGAATATTTATTTTTATAATCATCTAAAATATCTGAATGATAAGCACGTCGTTTAAGATATTCAAGACGTTTATTATTAATTGTTTCTTTTTCATTTTTATCATCATTATATTCCATTGGTATAAGTTTTGGTGGTCGATAAATTTTTAATTTTTGTTTTTCTTCTTCTTTATGTTTATTATCAATATTTATTTCTTCATCGAAATTATTAATATTAGGATGATAATTAAGTTGTTGATCAATATTATTCTTAAGTAATTTATCCATTTGATATTGTAATTTTTGTTCAATAGGATGAATTTTTTCAATAAATGTACGAATTTCACAAAGACGTAATATAATTGTACGTGTTGATAATGAATTTAATGATTGATTTGGTATTGAACGACGATACATAACAGCAATAAGATTAATTATATATTGTAGAAGTAAATCATTTTTTATTGATAATAATGATATACCACCATTATCATTTATATTTATATTAATTTGTTCATTTAATGATGAAGATTTTTCAAATAAAAGAATATATTTAAGAAATTCACGTAATTGTTCATTAAGTTCTTTATATTTAATTAATGTTTGTAATCGAATATTTTCTTGATCAGTCATAATTAATCTTAAAGAAAAAAAAACTTTCAATTGAATATTTTATGTTTTATAATACGATTGATGCGCCACATTAAATAAATAAAATAATATGAATGTGGCGACTTTATTTTAGTACATATAGATTTTTTTTGATGTTTATGATTGGTTGATAACATTTATTCTTTATTGGGTTTTGTTTTTTTTTTGAAAATAATCATCATTATTAGTCAGAGACAGAAGAAAAAAAATAACTCGACAAAAATTTCTCTTTATTGATATGTAGTTGTTTTATTTATTCGTATGTATATCAGTTTCTATTTCTAATTTATCTAGTAATTACTCTGAATATGTTATATAGGAAAAAAACAAAATCATACTTGGATTTAATTAATCAATCTTAGTTTTATATTATTAATTTTTTTTAAAGTATTTTTGAATAATTACGCAATTATTCAAAAAAAAAAAGAAATTCTTTATTTGAATTTGTTATTTCGATTATTAACATAGTGATTTAGAAAATGATAAATTGTTCATATATTTTAGATTATCATTTTTGAAATTAAAAAAAAATGTCAGCATCAAGTGGTGCAAATAAGCGTTTATTAACTGAAATAACAAAACTTAAAGCATTATCAACAAATAATGATTCATCATCCGTTAAATTTCTTCTTGATAAATCACCTGTAGATGATACAACTGGAGGATCTCGAGGAGGTGCAAGTAATTCAACACATAATATTATTCTTGGTCGAATTTTACCAACATCAAATATTTATAATCAAGCTGCTTATCAAATTGAAATAAAATTACCAGCTGAATTTCCATTTAAACCACCTGAAGTTCGTTTTATAACAAGTATTTATCATCCTAATGTTGATGAACAAGGTAAAATATGTGTTGATTTACTTAATTCAAATGAAACATGGAAACCAACAACACCATTAGTTGATGTTGTTAAAGCTGTTGTTGAACTTATTGATAATCCTAAAATTGATCATGCACTTAATGCTGGTATGATTTCTTTTGTTTTCTTACATATATATATATATGTTTACTTTATTATAGAAATTGCCAGTGAATATACATCAAATAAAGCTGAATTCGATCGTAAAGCTTTAGCTTTGGTTAAAAAACATGGTTTACCACGAAGTTAAATAATATAAACATATAGTTTTTATTATTCAGCATTATTATTATTATTTTTTCTTCATAGACATCTTAAATAAACATATAGTTATCTTTCTTTTTATTTGTCATTATGTGTTAATAAAAAACACAAAAAAATCTGTTTGTCAGTCAGTCTATTGTTTTTTTTTTTGTTTGTTTATTTATACTTCAGTTATGGCATGCAAATAAGACAGAAAAA